GGGGCAACGATCCTTCCTGCGCCTGGCAAGGCACCAGTGGCTGCTCCAAAGCACCGGGACCCCCGCCAACATCTCTGCATCCCATTCCTCACGGCTGCGGGCACCGGGCCGCGCGGGGGGGGGGGGGGGGGGGGGGGGGGGAGAGGAAAATGCAGGGTCTCAGCTGTGACCACCGCTGTGGCCACCACATCTGGGAGCACCTCGGTGCTCAGCATCCTGCTGCTCCATCCCCTGCTCCCCCGGCAGCCGCTGGTGACACTCACCTGTGGGGCCACCAGCAGGGTGCCATCTGGATGACTTCATGCTAACTGGGCCGCCCCCTTCTCACCCCCTCATATGCTGCCCTGGTGCCCAGCTGGGCTCCCAGGCACACCCCGTGCGGGACGGCCCCAGCACCCAGTGTGGCGTCAGGCCCCAGCCCAGCTGGGGAGAGCAGGGAGTGGCTGGGCATCAGTGTTCGGGGCTGCCCTGGGCACCCCTGCAATGGTGGGACCACGCTCAGGGCTTTCCTGACAACAGAAGGAGAGTGTGGGCACCCAGGACCTCCTGTGGTCCTCCTGGCAAAGGCAGGACCCCGCTGCCTGTGCCTGCCTGGAGAACCTCCTGGCAGCATCTCTCCCACCCCCAGCTGCCCAGCTCATTGCTGAGCCCCCCATCCCAATGCAACCATCCCCAGGGCAAGGCGAGGGCCAAGGTGGGTGGTGGGTGCCCAAGGCCATGCATCCCCTCTAACCTGCTGCTGGCATCTCTGCTTGGTGCCCTGTCCCAGACTTGAGCCTGACACCGTGATGTCCGAGACCACAAAACCCGCTGCTCCTGGTCAGGCTGCAGAGGAGAGGGAGAAGGCAGCTCCAGTGCCAACTCCATCCCTCGACCCTGCTCCTGTCGCAAACAGCAAGGGCGAGGAGCCCTCCACAGAAGCCTTCAGGGTAAGCCCTGCTGCTCCCCACACACAGGGACGCGGTCCGGGGGTGAGGGATGGTGGCAGCATCGCTGGGGCAGTCAGCAGGAGGGAAAGTGCAGGCGGCCCAGGGGGAAGGACCCTCCTCCGAGAGCAGGAGAGCGCAGACGATGCCGTCCCTCCCCGCTGTGTCTCTCCTGGGCAGCAGCTCTCTAGGTGCAAGATTTGGGCAGCCGCTTGCGGGGCTGCTGCAGGAGGGATGCTCTGGGTGCCCCTTGGCTGGGACAGCTCGTTGGGGACCACAGGCTTTGGAAATGCTCTCCCCCAGGTGGCATCAGGGCTGGGTGCTGCCACCTGCTCCCTCCGGTCACCCTCTGCGTGCAGGGGTCCTGCGGTGCTGCAGGGGGGTGGAGGAGGAGGCTGTGGGTCACAGGGCCAGCACTCAAACGCTGCCGTGACACGTGACACGGGGGCAGTGTGCCACCAAGGTGCTGCAGCAGGGCTGGGGACAAGGGGCGAGTGATGTGAGGGCTCCGGTGACACTTCTGCACGTGCCAGGCAGTGAAGGCCACAGCATGGATGCAGCTCCTAGAAAAGCAGCTCCTTCCCACCCGGCTGGGGCTTGATATGGGCACCAGCACAGGGAGACGTGGCTTTGCAGCAGCAAAACTGGGGGCAGGATGAGGCCATCTTGGAGCAGGGATGGCTGTCAGGAGGCTGTGCTCAACCCGTGTTGGGATGAGGCTGCTCATGCACAGAGCCCAGCTCAGCTTGCCCAGGCACCAGACCTGAAAAGCTGCAGGAAGCCTTGGAGAGCTGAAGGGGATGCGTGGGGCAGTGGGCTCGTGCATGCAGGGTCATGCAGGGTCTGTGCAGGGACACGCAGCACCGCCCTGTCCTCCCCGAGCATGCCTGCCCCTGTCTGACCCCTTCCCTCTGCCCCCAGATCATCGTCTTTGATCAGGAGAACTTCCAGGGCAGGCAGATGGAGTTCACCACTGAGTGCCTGAACCTGGGGGACCGCGGCTTCGATCGGGTGCGCAGCGTCATCGTCACCTCTGGACCGTAAGTGACCCCAGCCACAGAGGGGACCATGTCCCTGGGGATGCCCTGGGGGAGGTGGGGATGCGGTCCTAGGGAGCAGCCCTGGGAGCAGCGTGATGTGCAGAGGTATTTCCCTGCAGCCTGGGCAGAGAGCAGAGCAGGGCCAGCGCAGGAGCAGAGCTGCGGACGCTGGGTCTCCTTTGAGGAGGGCAGGAAGGCCTGGGCAGGTGGGAAGGATGCCAGGGCCATTTGTAAAGCAAAGGGCACTAGAGGCAAAGCTGAAGGCTGACAAAAGGCATCTATCGGATCTGCTACCTGAAGCTGTCCACGAAACACAAGAGACCTGTAGATTTTAGAGAAGCTAAGGTGAAACAAGGCGAGTGCCTTGGACCGGGCTGGTAGCCAGGGCCACCGCAGAGACAAGGCTGGAGCGAGCAGGGGAGAGCACCCAGGCAGCTGAGCAGTGATAAAAGGGCTAGGAAGGCCCAAAAGCCATGGGAACAGTTGACACAGGCAGGGACAAAAATGATTGCCAAACTAGATAACTGCACAGATGATCTTCATGTTGAAAGAGCATCTCACCACGGCCGTGCCCAGCTGGAAATGCCGTGCCCGGGAAGGCAGCCTGGCAGCGGTGGGACAGCTGGGGGGGCTGGCAGTGCTGCAGGAAGGATGCACAGGACACAGCTTACCTTGACAGCAGCCTTGAGGGACTGGGCAAGGTCACCTGTGGTCACCTTGAATGACACCATGTAGCACCGATGACAATTTTTTTATTAGGAACCCAGAATATCCAACTCTTCTTGAAACGAAAGAGGGACGGAGCAGCCCCAGAGGAGCTCAGGTGTGACACCTGGGAAGCTGCACTAGATATAGAAAGGGTGAAACTCGGTGAGCAGAGTATTTAAGTGTCACTGGGATCCTAAATCCTCAGAGTCTTCTTGAGAGTCACTGGTGAGACTCTGTGCCCAAAAGTTTTCTTAGGTGGCACTCGAACACGTCTCCTGCCATTAGGAAAATACCTGTTGGCATCTGCAGAAATAGCCCCGTTTTGCAGGGAAATGGGAAACAGCAAATGCAGGGCTGTTCTGGTGTCGGGGGCTTTTGGAGCCCTGAGCCTGTGACATTCACAGCACAGCAGCACCTTCTGGCATCGCTAAAGAGGTGACACTGCAGCTGAACAAACCCCGAGCACCCGTACCGTGGTAATGGGATGAATGCCAGAGCTGGCTGAAGCTGGCGCAGTGAAGCATGCAAGCGTGCCAGGATTAGACAGCCCTGGCCCGGGCTTGGTGGTGCAAGAGGAAAAACAGTCAAAGTCCTGAGACAACGCAAGGACGAGTCGCCGGCGCGCAGCGTGCAGGGCTCGCCAGCTGCCTCGAGGTCCCGCCACTCTCTGAGCTGAGGAAGGGGAGCACTGCGATCACACTGGTGTCTGCTGCCAGCCCTGAACGCGTGCACCAGCAAGCACTCAGCTGAGAGCCTGTGGGCTCCGTGCTTCATGGCAGCTGCCAGCTCTGTGCATGCCGTAGCGCTCTGAGAAAGGTGGGAGCAGGATGGTGGGGTCAGTCCTGACACCCAAAGCCTTTTTGGGTGCTGGGAGCCCCGCTCCGGCACCCTGCAGGCTGGCAGGGCAGGAGAGGAGCTGCTGGGTGGCATCTGACCCGCTGTTTTGTCCTACCCCTCTCCCCAGCTGGGTGGCCTACGAGCAGGCCAACATGCGGGGTGAGATGTTCATCCTGGAGAAGGGCGAGTACCCTCGCTGGGACACCTGGTCTAGCAGCTACCGGAGCGACTGCTTCATGTCCATGCGTCCCATCAAAATGGTGAGTGGTCCAGGAGCAGAAAGCACCCAGCGGGGTCTGGCCAGGGCCGGATCCGTGCTGCTTGGTGCCTCGCTGCAGCAAGCTCCAGGGCTTTGGCCATGCGACCCAGCGCCTTCCCTCTGTCTTCCCCAGGAGGCTGAAGACCACAAAATCTCCCTGTATGAGTCTGCTGACTTCAAGGGCAACAAGATGGAAATCCAGGAGGATGACGTGCCCAGCCTCTGGGCTTACGGCTTCTGCGACCGCGTGGGCAGCGTGCAGGTGCCCAGTGGAACGTAAGCCGGGCCGCGGCTGCCTCCTGCCACGCTCCCCGTCCTTCCCCGCACCCTGGCTCGCTGCCCACTGATCCTGGGCACCCGCACAGGGCTCTTGGGCAGCCAGAAAGCGCCGTACAGCTGTTTTCGGTGGCGCAGCCCATCACCCAGGGGGTCGCACCCATCACACGGGAGGCAGGGGACTCTGCCGGCTTCCCAAGAGCGTGCCGGCCACGTCACTGCTGCCTGTAGCGGCCAACCCCGCTCAGGTGCCCTCTGTTTGCTTTCCCTGCAGCTGGGTCGGGTACCAGTACCCTGGTTACAGAGGCTACCAGTACCTCTTTGAGACCGGAGACTTCCGACACTGGAACGAGTGGTCTGCCTTCCAGCCCCAGATCCAGTCCATCCGCCGCATCCGGGACATGCAGTGGGACCAGAAGGGCACCTTCGTCACCCCCGACGTGCCCTCCGACTGAGCGTGCCGCCTGCCAGCTACGAGTCCCGGGCCCTGCGGGGCACCCCCGCCTCCCCTCGCGCTCGCCTGCTCAGCACTTTCCTTGTACATTGCACATTCCCTGGATGTACTCTACCTTGTGAGGCAAATTAAAAAAAATACAGAAGACTAGAGCTGCTCGGCAGTCGGTGGTGTGCTGAGCGCGACCGTGGGACGCGCTGCGTCAGCTCTGCTTTTCTGTCCCGCTCGAGCCGCGTGCTGGAAGCCGGGTGAGACGTGGTGGAGGGCGATTTTCCCAGGGGAATCGCTCTCAGGCAGGACCCCCGCCCCGTGCTGGAATGAGGGAAACCCTGGTGAAAGCAGGAGCAGGCAGGGGAAAGGGGGCGGCCG